TAGTTGATTATATGACATTAGAAATGTTGAGGATTCAACCTAGGGAGAATTTATTAAGGAAAAAGGGAAGATCCCTATTGAACTAGAAGACTCCCATGAGGTTCACAAGGAGGAAGGATCTAACTCTAAAGAGTTATTAGAGTACAACAATAAGCAAAATAAGTAAGAAGAATACCCTTTTCATGTTGCCAAGGATGGCCAATCGTCATCCTTGAGAGCTAGTGAGGTTCTTCTAAATACTTATAAGGACTTTCCTTTCTCTCTCCCAACAAGTGAGATCTCCCAACACGTGAGATGATTGCCACCAGCAGACACAAGTAGGATGAACAAGTTGACATTCCTCTACTAAGGATGGACAAGCCCTACAAAATTAAAAAAGCGAGAAGAAGCTTCAAGATACAATTACTTTAAAGGCCTCCTAACTCTTACCAAGGGAAATAATTGAAGTGTTAATGCCTATCTCCACAGGGCAACTATTGAAGAAGAGGTTTAGCCACTTATCTTGAGAGTTGGAAGAAAAGCAAAAGGATATAAAGTTCCTACAAAAATCTTAGTGAGGTGGTGGTGAAGCTTTTGCCACTATTAAAAGATGGTGGTTACAATGGAGGAGGATATCTTTCAGCTAAACAGAGGATTACAATATGTTAGATGGTGAATATTCTTTATGAGAATGTCCTTGAATTGGCTTGACAACATGCTAGGTAATATGGAGGGTCATATATAGTTAATACTCTTCTTTTATCATGAAAAGGTCAATAAAATAAGAGTAGAGCAGCTTAAAAATGTATATTATTTGTTGTATGTCTTGGATATTTGAATCCCCCAACAACAACAGGCCCGTTAATGATGATGTTGATGATGTCAAATATTGTGAATGATATCTATTTTTGGATTAGTTGTCCCATATCAATCCAATCCCCTATCCCATCGGAGTCCCCCCACCTTTAAGTGTTCGAGGCAAGTCCTCTTTTTAAGCTTATATATGAAATGTCACTAACTATTTTTTGTGAGCCTTATTATGAGTAGGACAAGAGAGCATTGATGGTGACACCTCTACTAAACAATGTTTATAACTAAGATTGTAATTGAGGGCGCACATAGAGGTGCATGAGTTCCTTTAGTGTGCAGATTACTCATCTTCGTGTTTATCATTTTTTTTGTATTTATCTTTATGTACTCTATGGTTAGAGGAAAATGTTTTATATATTAACATTTTGTTATTATTGAGGATCTCTTGATTGGTTTGCATTTTTTTTATGTATGTTGTATTTAAATATCGTTGTTATGCTTGCTAGGATGATGGTGTAACTAGTAGGTCTTGCGCACTTGCGAGAATAGTACATATAATATAATTAATTTGGGCCATAAGATTTTTAATTATAATAATTAATAAACTAATTGCTTATTAAAAATGAATGGAATAATTAGTAAAGTTATATATAGTAAATTCCTATCTTCATTTTCCATATGCCTTAATGTGAGAAATTTGAATTTGCAGTATTGATGGTGGGATCAGATCAAAGGTCACATCAATCTTGTTATCCCACAGAATGCTTGTAATATGGTGAAATTATTCTGTACAAACGCCAAACGCCTTCCGGAGACCAACCAAAATGTGCCACGTCACCCCCTGCTTGGTGCTCGGCTCGGTACTGCTCGGTACCACAGCTCGATACGGCTGATGTGGCTCATTCTCGTTGGCATCCGGACGGTGAACTGCTTTCGGCGTCTACACAGAATAATCTCTTTGGAATAGGAGGATGCATTAATTTTAGCATAATGTTTATCTTTTAAAATTCTTTTTTCTTTCTTAAATCCATATTCTATCTTGTGCAACATATCCTCCAAGCTATTCTTATTTATTATTTCTTGCTTCCTAACTTCTTTGTGAAGATTATTGTCACGGGATCCATGAAAGAGAATAGTGTGTCATCATTTTTTTGCCAACTTCATTTTCACAAAGTTCACATTCTTGAAATTATATTGTATTAAGTAAAAAAAGGTACAAAAGAGGGTCATCTAAAATGCACCCAACTCTCCAAAACAAATCGGAGAGGGTGAAGCAAAAAGCCCCGAAAGACGACAACAAAAAATAAGAAACTAGAAAAAATACCACACAGTGATGAGGGGAGCCACCAGCAACCGGATGCAGGAATCTCCACGAGAGGAGGTGTCACGACCCGACCCGAGACGAGACGGATCCCGCCCGCGCTGGATCGCGACGGAGCTGCACTAACCAGGATCTAGCTTTGGAATTTGGTTCGAAACTGAATCTTCCAAATAATTAATTCACACAGACGATATTACAGGAGGAGGGAAGGCCTGTTAGGGGGGGATACCGTAGAGGATGAAGTACCTGGCGAGAAGGCAGAAAGGCATCCCAGTGCCCCAAACACCACCGGATGCAGGAATCTCCACGCGAGGCAGCGGGTAGCGGGGCACGCGGGGCAGTGGGTAGCGGACAACAGAGTTTAGGGTTTAGGGTTAAGGGGATGACATCCCCACTAGCAAAATCTTCAACCCCCTTCTTCCTCTTCTGGGGAAGGACCGTGACTGGGCCTAGTTGTAGGAGCTTCTTATGGGTAACAATCCCCTTTGAACTGGGTTTCTTCTGCTTTGAGAGGTCCAAAATACTACTAATAGGGGGCTACATCAGTTTGGTCCTAATATATTTGAATGTGATCGTAGGGAGCGAGGGAGACGGGATAAATGCTCGAGACTTAGAGGCTAGCTACTTTTATTGGCCGATGTTTGAGTGTCACTATATTCCAGTCTCCAAGCTCCCTAGAATGCTCAGGGGGTTGTGTAGGAGATCCAGAGGTAGATTGGTGCTTAGAGACAGACTGTTGCTTGGTCAGAAGGCTGGGCTGGATCATCCGGAGGGGGGTGAGCTGGTGGGACAGAATGGACCGCCTGAGCAATGGCGAACAATGCCGACAGAGAGGAGTGTCCAGGGGATGAAGAAGGGGGGTTGACATAATCGGAAGGTCACCTTTCCTTAGTGTGCCCAACTAATCCACAGCAAAATAGAAATTGGAGAGGACTTCATATTAAATTTTTTGGAAGAACCGTCCTCGAACCGCTTTGATCCAGATACCACAGAGTAGGGGTTTGGAAACATCAAGTAACGCAAATCCTTACAAAAAGAGGATTGTCCCCACGTATTCGTGTGGGAGTCCAGCAAAAGTGGTTAGCTAATGAAGTTAGCCATGCGAGTCAAATTAGTGACATCCTAATAGAGAAGGGGGAGCTGGGGGAGACAGACCTATATGGTGACAAAGATGTCTACCTCATTTTTTGTTATTTTAATTTGGGATTAAGTGTTCCTCAGAGAGACATTGTACTATATATGATAATTGCCTTGAATTTAATCTTGACACATATTTCTTTAAATTCCTTTATAGTTATCCAAGGATCAACATGGTTGTTGGATATGTATGTGATATAGATAGAAGATTCTTTCACATATTCGGAGTAAGATGCTTTGAGGGTATTTACTACTTTGTGATATGTCTTGCCTCATGCTAGATTATAGCTAAGTTTACTTATTCCAATGAAAGTTAAAAGGACAAGTATCCATTCACGAAGGTTTAGAAGGGATGAAAGTTTTCTACTACCTTAGAGATTATGTATGTATATACAACCCTTGAGATGAGCTCTAGGGGATTAGAGAAGATGATATGCAATTAGGGCATTTATGCCAAAGTGAATTTATCTCTAAAGGATATCGACAACCTTGAGCTCATCATAGTTTGTCTCAACAGGTATGACCTAATATAGACGATTCTAATTAACACGAGGACATACATGTAAATCTTGAGAAAAATCATGGGCTAAGATAATACTATCGAATCCATGGATGCTTTGGTAATCTTCCCACCTTCAATGCTCTCGAAAAAATAATTGTTAATGTATAGGTGGTGGCATGCGAAAAAGAAGAGGAGTTTATGATTGGTTAACTTAAATCCATCAAATTCCTGAAGTTAGTAAATATTAGATTTATAGTATAATAAAGAAAGAATAAATAAAAATGATTTAGGATCTAAGTTGATCTAAGTTCTCAAATTTTACCTTTGACAAGATTTAAGATGAATCTAGCTTAAATCCTGATACCAAACAGATCTCAGAATAAATCTTTTTTTTTTTTTAATTTAAGATAATTTTAAGTCTTCTAGATTAGATTCCAACCGTCAATATGAATTGGTAAACCTTTTTTTTTTTTTCGGGAAAATGAATTAATTGGTAAACTGAGATCAGCCTCCTGAACCGTCAATTTCCATGATATCCGTAGATCTGAACTATGTGGGCGGCGGCCACCGGTTACCTTGATTTCCAAGTAGAAATTAACAACATTTCCGGCGACGGCGGTGGCTGGCGGTCGGGTTCTAGAACTGGCTGAGGGGCAGCTTAAGACAATTTTCTGCTGAAAAGGCGTCACTTTGACTAAAACAAAAATAATTCTAATTTGAAGTCAGCCTTCCCCACCTTTTCTTTGTTTTTTTTTTTATTTTGTTTTTTGGGAGTATAGTTTTTCTCATCTTCGACTGTATCAATCTCGCTGCACGACGCCTGTCGAGGAGAGAGGGAAAAGCACAAGCGAACAAGGAAAAGCCAGTTCGCTTTCCCACTTCGATCGGTGCCACGTCCTTTTCCCCTTTCTTATTACTAAGGGTAAGAAAATAGTTACTACCGAATTTATTTGTAAAATCACGAAAAATATTCTGAAGGTTAAAATTTGTTCTTCAGTTCTTATATTAAAAGAAAAAAATTATCATTTCGAGAATGAAGTAAAAGTGAAAAAAGAGAAAAAAGAAAGACAATGACGCAGTAGAAGCCGAGGTCGGGTTAAAAAGTTGGGATTTTTAGATTTTCGATTTTATCGCTTAGCGAGAAAGAAGGAAGTGAAGGGTCAACCGGTCCCGTTCACCCTTAGCTGTTTGTTTACATTATTCCTCGCTATGAGGGAATGGTTCGCATATATTTTTAAAGGACTTGGCGAGTCCACACATGAGCTGTTTTTTCTTCTACTTTCTTCTATTTGGGAGTCCCTACACTGCTTCTACTTCCATTTTCGTTTCTTCTTCATGACAGTTCTCCTGTAATGGAAGCTGGAGGGGACATCTACAAGTGTTTCTTCAATACTCGCAAGTGCTCTGTTTTCTCTTTATCGTAGGTGGGGGTGGGGTGAGCTTATTAGGGTTCTAAGGGTGTAACAAGCAAAGAGGGAGACGGAGAGAGACAGAGGCGCTAGCGTTTTTGCTTGCCTTCTTTCTCTTTCTTTCTGCCCCGTAAAGAGTGTGGTAGAGGGATTTGGAGGCATTGGTTCATAACCAAAATTTATCCTTTCGCCTCCTCTTGCCTCTCCAGTTTCCCCTCCCTTGTCGCTTTTAGATCTTTCCTTCTTTCTTCAGCGTACCTTTGCTTTAATTTCTTTTCCTTCCTGGGAATTTTCTTACATGCGGTAAGAATTAGCTGGTGCTTAGCAGGACAGCCGGAGAGCCCTTTAGATCTGCGAGGGTTAGGTTGAGGAGAAGAAAAAGTTGCGATTTTGTGAAGGGAAGAAGGTTCAGAAATGAGTTTTGGTGGCTTATTCGACAGCGATTTGCCGTACGGCAGCGCCGCCATGCCGGCCGGAGTTCTTTCTCAAACGCGATTCCTTTCCAACTCTGCTATCCCCAAGCCCATGTTCGGTTCCGCTGGTCTCTCTCTCGGCCTGGTGAGCAGCCTCTTCAGCCACTTAAACGTTAGATATCCAGGCTGTTTTCATTTTGCAAACTAAAAAAAATTCATTTTTTTGGTATTTTGGTTTTGTTAAGCAATCGAATCGGGATGGAAAAGGAGAGTTCAGCCGGCTTTCTGTGGCGGTATCCGCCGGCGACAGCCGTGGCGGAGGTGAGCTGGATGTGCTTTGCCGGAATAAGGATGAGGAGAACGAGAGCAGATCAGGCAGCGACAACTTAGAAGGAGGCTCAGGCGATGATCTTGATCTAGAAAACCCTCGCAAGAAGAAGCGTTATCATCGTCACACACCTCAGCAAATTCAAGAACTTGAAAGGTATACAAGATGAGTATTTTTTACTTATAATTTTTTTCTTCTACGCGATAATTTCGCTTATAGTACGCAGTTTTGCTCTCTTTTTGCAGCCTGTTCAAGGAGTGCCCTCACCCCGATGAGAAACAAAGATTAGAGCTCAGCAAAAGGCTTCGGCTCGAGACTCGCCAAGTCAAATTCTGGTTCCAAAACCGGCGAACTCAAATGAAGGTAATAAATACAAAGTCAAAATTTACTCTCTTTTTTTTTTAATGTTTCCCCCCTTCGTTTGCTTTTTTCTGATTTTCTATTAATCAACCAAAGACTCAAATGGAGCGCCATGAGAACACTATCTTACGGCAAGAGAATGACAAGCTCCGAGCGGAAAACATATCCATCAGAGACGCAATGAGGAACGCCATCTGCAATAACTGCGGCGGCGCCGCAGTGCTCGGCGACGTCTCGCTCGAAGAACAGCACCTGAGAATCGAAAACGCGAGGCTAAAAGATGAGCTCGATCGCGTCTGCTCCCTCGCCGGCAAGTTTCTCGGCCGTCCTATTTCCACTTCAATGCCAAGTTCATCTCTTGAGCTTGCCGTCGGTTGCAACGGAGGTTTCAGTAGCTACGGGTCGCTTGTTCCAACGTTTTCTGCTGTTTCTGATTTCGTCAGCGGCGGCGGTTCGAACTCATTGGGCACTGTTATCACTCCTCCTTCGCGTTCAGTTGCTGTTGTGGATAGATCGTTGGAGAGATCTATGTTTCTGGAGTTGGCTTTGTCGGCCATGGATGAGCTCGTGAAGTTGACTGAAATGGGTGAGCCGCTTTGGGTTGTTGGTGGGCAGGATAATGGGAAAGAAATGTTGAATATTGAGCAGTATGAGCAGTTATTTCCTCGCTGTGTTGGTGTGAAAAGTTCTGATTTTGTGTCGGAGGCAACGAGGGAGACGGCTATGGTTATCATCAACAGTCTTGCTCTTGTTGAGACTCTCATGGATGCGGTAAGGATCTTTCTTTTCTCTATTTTTTTTTTATCTTTATTGAATCTTAGGAGATCATTATCATTTTTTTATATTTAGCAAATGATTTAAGAAATGTTTTTACAAGTTTAAGGATTCAAGTGCCGCAGCCCCTCATGATATATTTATAGAAATTAGGGCTAAATCTCTTAGACATAAATGGAATTTTCATTATCAACTTTATATAAAAAGACATTGGATTGGGCATTTTTTTATAGTATCACGGATTGTATTGACATGTTAGAAAATATGCTGATTATTTAGATATATGAGGAGCATTATTGCTTATTTTTTCTTAATTTAGGATAATTATTAATTAATACTTTGTAAGATACTATTTTTAAATTGAAAAAATAATTTTTTTAATGATTGCATTAATTGATGTGCTATGAATCAACCAAATAATATGCAAAAATGTCTTGTAAATAGTAATGTTTCATTCAAATGCCTAGTTCTTTTTTAGTGTTCAATATTCATTAGCAGTTGTCTCTTATGCACAAAGCTCACCTTAGTCCGTTTGTTGGGAGCTTAGGCTACCAATTACAAGGTCTTAGGTTTGAGTCTTGTGTATTTGATATATGTGAGTTGTGCAAACACCAAACTCAACCCTACATCTGGAGACATAACCAGAATGAGCCACGTCAGTAATATCGAGTGCGGTACCGAGTAGTACCAAGCTGCGATACCGATGTGACTCATTCCTGTTGGTTTCTGGATGGAGGTTGGCATTCTCATGACTTAATTGATCTAAATGTCAAAAAAAAAAAAAAAAAGTCTCTTATGCTTCTTTTCATTTATCCCAATGCATTTATTATAATCAATGCACTTCCTAATCAAACTTCCAGAGAAAAAGTTTCTTTCTTTCCTTTACCTCTAATAATAAATTTCCATTATTAAACATTCTTGATTAACGAAGCTTTGAATTGATGAATTAGACTCGTTGGTCTGATATGTTCCCTGGGATGATTGCGAGAACAACCACAACTGATATAATATCCACCGGAGTTGGCGGTACCAGAAACGGATCTCTTCAGCTTGTGAGTTATATATATATATCAATTAACATATATAATTACTGAAAAATCTGAATTTTTTACTAACTAATCGAAATCTATATATATAGATGCACGCAGAGCTTCAGGTTTTATCTCCGTTGGTTCCTATACGGGAAGTGAACTTCCTCAGATTCTGCAAGCAACTCGCCGATGGTGCTTGGGCTGTAGTCGATGTCTCCATTGATGGAATCCGAGATCACAATTCTGCTACTTCTGCTGCTCTTGCTGCTAAATGCCGCAGGCTTCCTTCCGGCTGTGTGGTTCAAGACATGCCCAATGGCTACTCCAAGGTATATTAATTTCCTTCTGAGAAATAAAATAATGGCCGCAAAGAAGCCAAAAGTCAAGCCTGTGACGATTTATTTTTATTTTTTGACGGCCATTAAAGCTGCACGACATGAAGATGTGTCAGCTCCTCAATGGGAAAATTAGTAACCCCGCGGGGTTCTTTCTGTCCGCAAAAAACTAATACCGAGGCCTCTCGCTCTCCACAACCTATAATTATTTATTTATTTATTTAGAAATTTATATAATATTTTTTGAGTAATTAAAAAAGTATTTTTATGTTTCTATTCCATGCTTCTATGGTACTTGATTTGATTCCTCTGGGAATATTTAAAAAAATAAAAAATATTATCTTTGTATTTTTCACGTTTTTACATGTAGAGGCGCCCATCCCGTGGCGTTCGTATAGGATAGTCAAAGCTTGGCAGGATCTGGATTTCTTCAATCTGCGAGCCATGTGGTCGCCGCGGGGAAAGGGCAGGTTTTGTCTTCTTGCGTCGGTGGGGTGTGCCCTCCGGCCGATGCTTAAGGCTTTTCCTGTTCCAGCAGCCGTGCGGCGGAGGTCGCTGGTCAAGAGTAATTGGTTTGGATCTCACCGACGCTAGCTGTGTCTCGCAGGTGACGTGGGTGGAGCACGCCGAGTATGACGAGGCGGCGGTGCACCAGCTCTACCGGCCGGTGCTCCGCTCCGGAATGGCGCTCGGGGCGCAACGGTGGGTCGCTACTCTACAGAGACAGTGCGAGTGTCTCGCCGTGCTGATGTCCTCATCCGTTCCTAACCGCGATCACAACTGTAAGTTCCAGATTTTATTTCATCGCAGTTTGCACAAATTATTAAGTAATTGTGATGGCTTAACATTTTATAAAATATAATTGCTAGATTATTGTAAATATTATATATATAATTAAAAAAATTGAATAGCTACCCGCCGTTGCTTAGCTTTGTTGGTGGGCGAGTGCGGTTAGCTACCCCCCAACATGTTTTATTACTCTCGAGCGGTAACGCCTCTTAAGTGGGGCGGCCCAATCAAATATGGGCCAGGAGGTTTCTGGGTTGGATGACTCTTTTAGGTTAGCCCGGTATCCTAGGAGGTATCAGGGATGATAGCGGTTGGATATTCGTTCTTAAAAAAGAAAATAGTTATATAAAAAGTTTTGCTAATGAAAGAAATTCTAGATCAAGTAATATTTTAATAACAAGGTTAAATTTGTTAAGATGTAATAAAAAAAATGTTCATGATCAATATTAATATGCCTATATAGTTGTATAATATATAGGAATATTTTGGAAGTAAATATATAAATTGATTTAAATTAAAATAATTGACATGCAGAAACTTTCTCAAATTTAAAGGAATTACTTAAATAATGCTTAAATTAAGATATATGGTCGACAGAACCTATAATATACCATTTTCAGATTGGCTTGAGATGGAAAAGTAATCAACCCTAATTTTATATTTTAATTATTATAGAATATGCTTATCTGAATATCATTATTTTTATCTATTCAAGCTGTCTATGTAATAGGCTAAATTAAATGCGGATAACAATCCTATGCAATCTATCCGCATAATTTTTCAGATTCTGTTAGATCATTTAATAAGTTTGTAACGGTGGCCTGCAGCGATAACGGCGGCGGGTAGACGGAGTATGCTGAAACTAGCGCAGCGGATGACGGACAACTTCTGTGCGGGCGTGTGCGCGTCATCGGCGCGCAAGTGGAGTCGTTTGCGGAACATGGGAAGCATTGGTGAGGACGTGAGAGTGATGACAAGGCAGAGTATGGACGATCCCGGCGAGCCACCAGGCGTCGTCCTCTCCGCCGCCACCTCCGTCTGGCTCCCGATCTCGCCGCAACGCCTCTTCGATTTCCTCCGCGACGAAACCCTTCGTTGCCAATGGGACATCCTTTCTAACGGCGGACCTATGCGGGAGATGGCTCATATTGCTAAAGGCCAGGATCAGGGTAACGCCGTCTCCTTGCTCCGCGCTAATGTAAGTTCTCTCTCTCTTTTTTTTTAATAAGACATTAAGACGAGTACTGAATAATTAATCAAAAATCTTCGATGAGAACTCATTTTTATATTAATTAATCCTCGTAAAGAAAAAAAAAGGGATATTTCACGCCGAGGATAATTAAATTTTATTATATTATATTTTAAATTCATTAAAGAATAATTTTTTATCAGTGATAGTTTCAATGCATTAAAGTGTTTGAGATAATGGCCAGGCCGTGAACACGAACAATAACAGCATGCTAATACTGCAAGAGACTTGCACCGACGCGTCGGGGTCGATGGTGGTGTACGCGCCGGTGGACGTGCCGGCGATGCATCTTGTGATGAACGGCGGTGATTCAGCTTACGTGGCGCTGCTGCCGTCGGGATTCGCGGTGATGCCAGACGGCGCCGGTGTGGGGTCGCTTTTGACGGTGGCGTTTCAGATACTGGTGAACAGTTTGCCGACGGCGAAACTAACAGTTGAGTCGGTGGAGACCGTTAGCAACTTGATATCTTGTACTGTGCAAAAGATTAAGGTGGCTCTTCAGTGTGAGAGCTGAGGAAGAATGGAAGGGTTGAGTCAAGAACGAACCGTGCGCGCGGTGGATAAAAGAACCGTATCTTTGCTAAGTGATGAGGAGGCTGCCGGCGGCCGAAGAAGGGCGCGGTTTATTTGTAATCTTCAGCACAGAGCAATGGTGGTGGTTCGGGTATTGACTCAGCCTATTTATATATGTGAAGCTCAGCTGTTATGTTCTTACAAACTGTTTTTTTGTTTTTAATTAGTTGTTTTTTCGTGTGTGCTAACGTGTTGTTTATGATCTTCCATTGTTGTGGGTTAATCTCTTTAGTGTTATATGAATAATTAGGTTTTTTTTTGTGATTATGAACGAGTTTATGCTGTTTCTTGTTGGTAGAGTCAAATAGATCTAATGGTGTTGTGCGCGACTTCATCGTCTTTGTTGCTTGGATAGATTTCACAAGCTATAAACTTCATTCATAAAATAATTTAAAATTAATTGTGTGACTATTTAAATTTAGATTTTAATAAATATATACTTGTTGTATTTGTGGCGGTAAAGTACAAAAATTTCTTGTCTCAGCGTTGTATGGATATTCAATACATAAACAAAGAATATAAGATTTTTTACGTGAAAAACTTTGAAATAGGGAAAAATCATGGGGCCACGCCTAGTTGAAATTATTTTACTAGTATTTGAGTAGATTACATGTGATTAGATTGCCTTGAGGATGATCAAATTATAATAATCAACCATCTAGTTGAAATCTAGTGACAAATGGGGATCATATGAGGGTTCGACGCCAATCGATGGTCGGGCGGAGTTTTGGCGTTAGTTGGTGGGTAGGCGGAGGTCTAGCATCAGGCTATTGCTGGGCGGAGGTCTAGTGTCAGGCTATTGCTAGGCGGAGGTGTGGCGTCAGTTGGTGGTCATATAGAAGTTTAGAGTCAGTCGGTGGTCGGATGAAAGTTCAACATCAGTTGGTGGTTGGGCAAAAGTCCGACATTAGTCGGTGGTTCGGCGGAAGTCGAACAGTGGTCAAGGTGCTTTGTGGTAAGAGAGATCTTTCCGTGCTTCGATCCTCTATCATGAAAAATGAGGGGTCTATTTATAAATTTTTGAGAGTGGCATGACCATTAAATAGGAGGAAGATCAAAAGTTAAGAATGTTTTGAATGGACTTGTGTTGATTCTGTTGATCGTGGACCTTTTGCTGAACATTTGAATGTCGTAATGATCTCAAAATTGGCGATCTTGGGCTCGTTGTATTCGTTTCGTCGAGCCGCTCGGTTCAACTATAAGCATGTTACGTTTGGAAATTGTTTGGTCGTCCAATTTATGTTTTGAACCTGCAAAGGCACTTCGGGACTTTGATTTGAATCCATTTGGGCTTGGATTGAGTCGAATTTAGTGTTGTTGGGTTCGTAATTCTGAGGCGTTCAGTTCAACTGTAACTTCGCTGAAATTGGAGCTCGAATGGTCCCTAATTTGATTTCAAAAGTTTCCAAGTTGATTTTTCCTCGAGATTCGTACCCGATCAAGTTAATTTTTTGATGATATATCAATACTTGAAATGAATGTATCGATGAGATGAATGTAGTCACCAAGAATTGCCTTAATTTGATTGTATACGAGGTTAAAACAAGCCGTTATAAGTTTAATTAAAAAAATTATTATATTGTTTGAGGAATTAAATGATCTCTAAATTTCACTTGTTTATTTTCTATATGAGTGTCTCGGCTGTATGAGGAATGAGCTTGATATTACTTGATTCTAATATCATTAAAGTGTTAAAATATTTAAAGAATAATATATGATGAAGATCATCAATGCAAATTGTTTGATGGAGTTTTTGAGGTTTTTGACAAAATTAATTAGAAACTCACTCTTAAATTTTATAAATAGAATCTCATTCTACGCATGAATGAAATTAGAATTGGTGAAAGCTTGTAAATTAAAAATTAAATAAATCCTAAAATTTAATGCATATGGTTATCACTTGATTGTTATCATTTGATTGTTGTTGCTTGATTGCCATCATTCATCATCATCACCATATTGTTTAATGCATATGATTATCACTTGATTCATCATCATCACTTTGTGACGAAGTTATTTCTGCTGTAAATTTTATCGGAAATGAACTGTTTTCCTGTAATGTGATATTTGTTTAAATTTTATATTAATTTTTCTAGGTCAGATTACCTAATAATCCTCTCTAGGGTTTTCATATTAGAACTCATATATCTCTGGTAAATAATTTTGTTTGTGTTTTATCCTCAAAATTTTGTACAATGATAAGAAACAAATTTCTCTTTCCTCAACCACAAAATTTCCAACATACAATTGCATAACTGATACTCATATATCATTACAATAAATCTTTTGATTAGGCAGGAACATGTCGCAATATTAGATTTGGAAGCTTTCTTGATTCGATTATTGATCATATGAGCTTTGATTACAGTAAACTTCTAGTTGAAATAAATATTTCAACGAGGCGAGCAAAATAATATCACAAGTATTGTAATTAGAGTTTAAATGAGTCCAAATCAAATACTCAAAGAATAAATTATGATAGGTGGAATCAACCAAAGTCAAATTCTAAGTTTTTTTTTTTTCTTATTTTTTTGTCTCTATAATGCTACTAAAAAATATAGGTGGACATCACTTTTTCACATAAAAAGAGACATAAAATGAGCAAAAAAAAAAAAAAAACCTTAAAATTTTGAAGAATTTCGAAGCCTTATCCAACATACGCATGAATCCCGAGAAAAGAACAAGGAGAAAACAACATAAAATGAATACTAACGTCTACGCCGGCCTCTCCCACGAAATCTCCCCCGAGATGCAACAGTTATACTAGGTCTAGCCCGAACCAGAGTGAAATCGTTACCAGGGTCCGATCCCCCACAGAATTCCGGAGAAGCCAAATCACCTTTTGAAAATTCGGATTTAGATTCACAATCCGACGATCCATTCAACCAATTAAGATGGTTCTTAATGTCCAAACCAGAAGAATCACCTAACTGATTTGCCATAGAATGCGATTCCACCAAATTAACAAGGACTTCAATTAAATTGTTGATAACCGGTTTACAAGCATCTCTAGCACCAGATGAAGGAGACACAGCTTCAACCAGAGCAGTAACCAAAGGGGCAGAAGGATTAACAGCAACAAGACCTTCCGAATAATTAATATTATCCATCGAGTTAATCGGCAAAGTAATCTTACTCGTAGACGGTAAAACAAGAGGAAAAAAAGGAATAGCATTTGGGGAAAGACCAAACGTAGCAGCATCAGAAACAATGCCACCAGCCGCCAGCCCACCAGAATCCTCCCTAGCTAAATTCGGCTCCACCAGATCAGACACAGACTCATTAAAAGCATTCTGAGCTATAGTAATTGTAACAGGAATAGGTTCAGTAGTAATGGGAACAACATAAGATTCCAGAGCAGCCGTATTAGGAAGTCATTCACCCACAACCGGACAAACCTCACCATTAATAACCTTCAAAGAAACAGAGTCCCCCCCAAAAGCAGGGGTAGCAGACGGATCAACAACAGTGACATTCTCGGGAATAAATACATCATTCACCTTCTCACACTCCAAAACAGTGTGAGAAACACCCACAACGACATTACCAACATCTAAGATCGCGATAGAGGGGTTGGGAGAGTTCTGAATCACAGGTGCAGCAGGGCGGTAATTACCTTGAGAGTGTCCGATACATTTACAGCCAGCACATAATTGAGAAAACTCATCAAAAACAACCTCTTGAGTATAACCTAAGGATTCCGAACCTAACCAAACTTGCTTAGAAAAGGTTTTAGTTATATCAAGCTCAACTAACACTCGGACAATAGAAGGACGGGAACCAGCTGCAGTTGCTTCGTCAATTTTCAAAGGCTTTCCAAACAATCCGCCCAGTCCAAAAAGAATGTGAGGGGAAAACAAATGAGGGCGAAGCCGAGGAAACGAAATCCATATTGGTATTACCGGCGATTCAGCATCAATATCCAAAGTTGGCAACCACTTTGTCAATTTCATTTAGCAGTTAAACACTAGATAAGAACTGTGACAAAACACCCTACAATAGTCAAGATCATTGGCAAGCTTGATCAGGATGTGAGTTGAATCCAAAACCGTGACAGAAACCTCACTTTTTAACTTCAAATTGAAAAAAAATTTGCGGATAGAATCAAGAGGGGGTCTTTTAGAAGGAAAAAATCCAACTAGAGAAAATTGAAAGGGGATAGCGATCTCTTTGATTTCCTGGTCGGAAATCCATAAAGACAGGTAATCCACGAAAAGTAGAAGCATACAAATTCGGAATAGAAGGCTTAGAGCCAGCAAGAGCTTCAATAAACGAACGCGGATGGGAAACCCCTCCAAAAAAATCGGGGTCCTTAAGCTTAACAACCGCCATGCCGGCACAGCCGACAAAAACGCGTAGAAACCAGAAAAAGAAGTAACCACGCTAAATAGAAGAGACAGAGAAGGAGAAAACTTCCCTGAAAATGGAAGATCACTGGAGAGAAAGCTCCCGCCGTGCAGGAGAAGACGCTCGGAGCCACGAAACCCTAGCAGTGCGGCTAGGGCGAAAAGATTTTATTGAGCCCAAGTGCCAGCAGTCTCTTAGGCTTTGTTTAAGATAAATTTATTACCTTTTTTTTAAAGCATTTTTTTATACAAATATTAAAATTTTTATGCTAAAAGCTACTTTAATAATTAATAAAAAAACTGTTCCAAATAAAACCTTAATTTCATTTGAAAAATTTCTATCTAAATCAATATTTTTTTGTCGTTAGATTGATAATCTTTTGGCGTCTATCATTCAGTTAATTTCATACAGAGACTTGTCAGTTCATTCATTTGGATTGATGGTATTGAATACGACATATTTCAATCATATTTGTATAAAGTTTTTAATATTTTGCATATAAGATTTTATTCATGTTTCTTAGCTTTCTCCCATATTTAATTATGAGTTTAATTTTTAATAAATGTTTGCATTTATAAATATAAATTTAACATAGCTCATTTTAATCTGTTGGTTGGAAGTTTAGACTATTAATTAACTAAGAAGTCTTGAATTCATAAGTCTACCATAATTGTTTTAAATGTCCCAATAGACATGTATTAGTATTATTACATATATATCAACATTCGCCATTGTTGCGTCCTGAAATATTCGCGGCGGTAGAAAAATATATAGTTTAACGTCTTAGCATTGTACGAATATCCAACACACAATCAGATAAGTGAGAGGGTGTAGCGTTCATAAGAGACACCAAAGTTTTTACGTGGAAACTCCTAAAAATGGAGAAAAACCACGGGGCCTGGCCCAGTTTGAATGAATCT